GTTTATTGCCGTTATCTTTAAATACCAAGGACGTGTAAAAGAATAACATTCTTTCTGCTCTAGCATGGCTTAGATCACGTTATTTTTTAATCCAAGGATTTTTTGGTTTGTTCTTTTTTATTTTCTTGTAGATTGCAAAAGCTTCGTTAATACCAGAGTCAAGTTACATTGCTAAACCGGCTGCTTCATGGCTTGATGATTATCTTGTGTGGGTATCTCCAGAAGCATTTGGATGCTGTCGGAAGTTCACGAATGGGAGCTATTGCCCCCCTGATGATCAGGTCCTTTGGTTCCTTCGAAATACTTGTGAAATAGCATCATACTTGAAATATTTATTGCACGGACAGAATATGGTTCTTTCGACAGTTAGTTTGATCTTCTATATTTGATTTTATCTTCATTTCTATTCCTTCTAATGCAATGGCTTGTCCTTTAAAGTTCAATTTACTTGTAACTAATGTTCTTGTTTATGTTTTACTTTTTGGTAGTTTTACCATTTATAAGTTATATTACTGACAAACACTTGGTCGGTTATTTAGGGAATTGTTAGTATATTCTATGACCTGTACTTTATCTCCTTAGGTTTACTGAATTTAATTTTTTTCAGCCTCCTTGCTGTGCTTCAAATGTTGGTTCTTGTGGCCTGAACGGAGTGTGTAAAGATTGTACAACGGTAATGACTCCCTTAAATTTGATGGCAGATGACAAATAAATTGATGCCTGATTGCTTTGCAGTATTTTGATAAATTAGGAGTCAATCCTGAGTCGTGGGTCCTAATTCTCATCTTAGAATTCGCAAGCACTAACAATTTGGTGTGTTATACAGTGCTTTCTTCACTCAGATCTGCATGATGGTAGACCATCTACAGCACAATTTAAGGACAAATTGCCATGGTTCCTCAGTGCTCTACCTTCTGCTGACTGTGCGAAAGGAGGTCATGGGGCATACACTAGTAGTGTTGAACTGAAAGGTCTACAAGATTGATTTTCTTTTGTTGCATTATTTGATAATAATATGTCAAACCAGAAAGGACCTTTCGTACCAACTTAAATTAAATAACATTTTTGTTTGCTTCTCTTTTCACCAGGCTATGAAAATGGTGTTATTCAAGCATCTTCTTTTAGAACGTATCATACTCCCCTGAATAAGCAGGTGCGGCATAGTCTATAATTGGAATTAAAATGGTTGTATTGAAAGCATACAATATGAAATCTTTTGTGATTTCTGTAAATTACTTAAATTGTAAAATTATCAGGTTGACTATATTAATTCGATGAGGGCTGCTCAAGAATTGAGTTCGAGGGTTTCTGATTCTTTGAAGGTAAAATTTTCAATTACAGCTCGTGTTTTATTGTCTTTAATATAATGTTATTTTAAGCTAATCATGATCATAC